GTAACGTGTACAAATCTGCTCTTAAGTGTAGAGCCCCTGGACTTGACGGTCACAAAAGTGCAACCCACCCTCTTCTAAGATCCACTATTTTTGCTAAGAACTAAAATTCTAGAATGTGTGTAGAACCAAAATTTATTTGCCAAGCGTTGGCGTTCCCCGTGATATCATCAGCTAATTGTTTGGCGCGGAAACGATCTCACGATCCTTTATGTTCTGCTCGTGGTGAACGTTTATGTTTCGGACAGTGGTGAACAATAAGTTCAAGGAAGTTTTCAGCACACTCTTACGACAAATAGAGGTTTACGAGCACGATTTACACTGGTGCAGTCAGGCTCTCAGGTGTCATGAGGGTGGGCGCAAAGTTCACAGCTCCTGAGCTCGCGGCCTTCTTTTCCGAACGAGCGCACGGTTGAATCTTGTTTCGACGAGGAACATTCCGGCGATCGCCAGCGCAAGGATCCCGTGAAAGTTGAAGATGAAGTCTTGTGTCCCATACGAGTCCCTGAAATGAACTGCGAAAAGAAAAAAGGACGCGAGATATTACCGTTTTATGCTGAAAAAAATCAATGCGAAAACGCGCATATGCTGTTATTAATTAATTATTTCAAGAGTTAGATCAACTGCTGTACGTCCGAGGCAAGCCAATATTATTCGTCAGGTCAATGCTGCTTTCTAAAAAGTAAGGAGCAACAAGGGAGCCTTTACGCTTGCGAAAATAAATGAATAATTCGAGTTGAGTGAAAATACAGACGAGCTGATTTAAGGAGACAGACTAAACGGGGGGTAGGGGAAAAACGCAACGGACGACAGAAAACTACATCTTAGTCATAAACGTTTTAGCGGTCCCCAACAGCTTCAGAAACGCAGGGTGTTGATTAACACGTTCGCGTATCTTGATTTGAGATTTGGCCTTCAACGTTCTTGTCGGCAAATGCCACAATCACATTGACGCCAGCGCGGTAATAAGATGCTTAAAACTTGCCGAGTTTGCGTTCATTAAGCTGTCTGTGACTATAGACCTTTGCATCGTTTGTCACCCGGGCGAAAAATGCTGAGTCACTGAGCTGTGAAAGCATACGTAGCATCCGATCTACCACGCAGCAGAGTAATAGCACAAGCTCAAAAGGCGTTCCACAGCCCAGCGGACAAAGGTGGCAGCGCGCAGAAGGCGATTTTTGCGAAGGTTTATATACGCCCGAAGCAAGTGCTCCAAAGTGCGCCCTTGGCGCATCGGAATGCAAGGAAGAGCGCGTCGATCGGTGAGCAACATAGAGAAGGACCACGAAATACGTGGTGACGCGGCTGCCAAGCACGCACCGTAATTGGTTGAGATCGGAAAAGGGGGGGGCTAAAGTACAGGGACGCGTTTGGGTGGAAAACGAACGCACGAGGTACGCAATAAGCAGGCGAACTTACACGCCGTATAGCCCGTACGACTCACACTGCTGGTAAACGCCCTTTAACTCGAACGTTTTTAAGTGAAAAGAAACGGTAGCCCATAAATACGCGTTCAGCTCTCCCCTGAAACCAGCATCCCGTCACTTACGAAATTGTGAGTGGTAAAATAGTAAAATAAATATTCAAAATGAAGTTTCTGAAGGGTTGGTAAAAATTATTTAAACTGACGAACGTACCAACCAGGAGCTGCCCGATGAGCGCGCTCACTCCTGTCGCAAAGGAAACCACGCCGTAAGCCAGCCCGCATGAACCGACTCCGAGAGTGTCCACCAGGAGGACTGGAGCCAGGGCCTTGCTCTGCCCGAACGCCCAACCCTGGAGAAGACTTTGCACGGCGAACGTGTTGACGCTGTTATGAAGCGACACGATGAGCATTGAGCCACCAAGGATGAAGAAATCCACCGCGATGGCACGTCGTACGCTGATGTGACCCTCGTCGGTGAACCATCCCGAACACAGGCAGGCGGCAAGGTTACCTATACAGAAGGTCGGCATCAGCCTGTCTTCAAGGGTTGCTGGGATGCTCTTCATCTGCAGAACCTCCGCCAGTTTAGTGAGAAAGATGACGACGGAGTTGAACATCACCGAGTTTGCCACGCAGATCAGGTATAGAGTCGGGTTACTGAAGATGTTAAGATGGCCGCCACAGCGCTCTTGCCTCCTCTTGTCTTGTAGCTGGCGGATGATGATGTCCTGGGCCAAACGAGAGTACCGGCGCTTCAACGGTGCTCCAGGAACCGTAAGCGCCAGTTGGTCGAGGCTGCTCAGTAAGGCTGCGTTGCGAGACAAGTCTCCGTTTTCTAAGGATAGCTCTGTGTTGTTGCGGGAAAGGCCGCTGCTAAAGGCATCTTCAAGTACTATGGCTGGAATAGGACCCGGAGCGTCAGTTCCGTTGGAAGATTTTTCGGGAGGGAAGTTTTCGACGACACTGAGTAAATCTGCGTTCTGCACAACACACCCATCGGCCGGATGGAACTGAATCTGATTTTCGGATGACAGCTTGCTGTGGCTGGAAATTGTGCTGATTGCATCTGTTGCTGGCACTGTTGAGACATTGGTGACATTGCCTCGGCTCGTGCTTTTATCCCTAGACGAAACATTGATATCAGACGGCGGCGAGTCTTCGCTGTCTTTCAGCTTGGTGTACGTCTTTTCAGCCTGGCGCGCAAGTCGAAGTGATTCTATAGAAGAACTAACCCATCGTTCTAAGAAACTTCGTCGTCTTTTCACATCCACCTCGTCGTTATGCCAACTTCGCCTCTTGAGCAAGCGACTTTGGTCGCTGTCTTTAGAAAATGATCGCCATGGCACCTTCGGGCTATTCACAGCATCATCCTTAGCACTGGTTTCACCAGAGCTTCGCCAATCTTGCAACTCGCTGCCAGACCATGACAGCGCGTCATCACTTTCACTGTCGCTTTCCTGATGTTCGATAACTGCGACACACTCGACAATGTTTGTTTTCCTACGTTCGCGACTCATTATATCTGAGAGGCTCTCCGGCCATCGTTCGAGCGGGACCTTGAGTAGATCCTTCTCTTCGTCCGCTACCGGCGCCTCTTCCATTATCACCTTGTTCGCCAAGTCGACGTCAGACTTTGAGTCTAGCGGCAACAACTCCTCCCCCGGCCCTTCGGAAGCATCGAACGTAAATCTGCTGATGAAGAAAGCAATCACGGCGGCGTTTAGCATCACACCGGACATAACGAGGAACATTCCCTTTACACCGTACTCGTTGGTCAGTTTACTAATCAATGGCCCACCGAGATATACCGCTACGGCTTCACCGCTAATGCTTAGCCCATTTCCGATGGAGCGGTATTGCTTGAAGCAGGCATTTACGATGAGGACACAAGCCGTCTTTGTTGCTCCCACCGAGGCTCCTGAAAGAACAAGATTTATGTGGTCAAACCACACAACAAATGTGGCTCACAGCACTCAAGAAGCATCATATCTCAACTGCAATAAATATAATGCCTTGGAAAAATCACCATCAAAAGTCGACCTGTTAGTCATTTGACAAGATGGTATTAGTTTCTAGAAGCCGTAATATTAAACACGCTTTCAAGACCGATGTATGTGTGGTCTTGTTTCTGTTCAGACCTTGACAACGAAGAGGTAAACAAGTCTTCATTCAAGTACCTGCCTCTTCTAGAGTGAGGTACATCTTTGGATTTTATGTCTTAATTTGTGGAACTCTTAGGACCCATCCACGGGCCACGACAAAAAATAAACATGCCTTGACAATGGTGCCAAGCAGCGCTAAGAGGACGAGGGAGAAAACGAACATACATACAGCAGGGGCTTCTGCTAACTTTAGCGCCAGTCCTTCTACAGCAGCGGCCTCAGACATGCGGCCCGCGGGCCGCATGCGGCCCGCGGGCAACCGGCTACGCGTCCCGGTTCCAATTCGCTGGAAATGGTGTGCGCCATAGTGATCTCATCTCGCCGATTCATTTTCGCTCGAAAAGTAGCTCTGCTCTTTAAACATATTCACATAGTTTATATTTATATGTGTTCATTTGCCCTTTGTTTTGCTTTATTCTTTGCTTCTTAACTTTTTCTAATGTACAACAATAATGCAACTGCTGCAAGCGCGAACTATTCGTTTAATCTCGGCTGCGCAAACTCTCGATCAGCAGGAGCAGCTGCCGAAGATAAAGCTACGAGCTCGAGATTAGAGCCTAAGTATTTGTTCAGAGTGTTGTGATAAAAATCGTCAGGAAAGCAAGAACTGTCAAATTAACTGATTGATTTTTTAAAGACATACTGAGCTTGGGGAACTTCTGAGTGAAATGAGCAACGAAAACGAGAGTGCAATTGCTCTCTTGTTCCATTAAAAATGCCAGCACGTTGGTGGGGCGGTGCAATTTTAATTCTTGATATCAAAAGACGTCAGACCCCAAGTATTCATATAAACAAATCAAATCTAAACATGTCACTCACAAAAGTGAGTTACAAAAAGCATAGAGGACGAGGTCTCCTTTTTAAAATCATCTAACTCCCCCCCCCCCCCCAGGGTGTTGCGTTGGCCCTCGATCTTTCAGGTATCGGCTATCTGGCTCCCAGATTCAAATGAGATTGAGACCACTGTTCTACAGTATTTATGTCATTGTACGTACGTTCTATCTTGCATGCTATGTGAAGTTCTAATCGCCAGATAATTGACCAACGATCCCAAACCAACATTCTTATATTGATCTCAGTGTCCCGTCGCGCGATAACATGGCACGCTTAATCGTGAATTTCATAAAAAAAAAAAAAACAGAAAGCCAGTCGATCAATTCACAATGTTTCACTGGTTCCCACTTCGGGTAAGTTGCCGCATATTCGTTAATTGATAAAAGTATTTTCATTCACAACAAATATATCCTAATTCCTCTAGCATCATAATATTTCAGTTACGTGTTGTTTTTATTGACCGTAAAATACTTCAGTTTTGCAGAATTTTTTTTTTTTTTTTTTGCGACAGTTTACGGCGTATTAGTTGCGAGAATATTTCATAGGTGGGTGCTCTATGGCTATGCGTATGTAGTCGTCCACCGGATGATGTACTCAAGTGATCCATTTTTAACAGTATTTGTTTCAAATCGCTAAAGTTAGTTCCCGGGGAAAATCACATCGTTTACAAAATTTTTACGTAAAACACAGCGCAGGTGTTATAATAAACTGGTATACATGTACGCAACAGACACAAAACACATAAAAAATCACGTATCGACTGTTGTTCCACTCTCACAAAAACAAATTGCGCACTAAGTGCTTCGAAGATTTTCTGAGTAACACAAGAATATAGGGAAATAACCGAATGGTATAATAATAACACTAATAATAATAATAATAATAATAATAATAATAAATTTATTGCAGGTGCTTAAACGTCCTCAGAGTATCATTACGGGACCGTCAAAGTCCTAAAGACTTGTAGGACTGATCCCAACAAAATATCTACAAAAGCACGCATAACAATGAACCCCCCCCCCCCCCCCCCCACCCATACACAAAAGAAAACAGAACAAAGAAGTTACAGAAATTTAGAGACGCGACAAGGTAAATATCGTTAAAGACGAATTACACAGTACAAACTCATTACGAAAAGTCTTGAAGGTTGGCGTTATTTTCCTATGGACGAGCACATAGTCTTCAGTTTTCTTTTTAACTTCCCACGAGAAGTAATGTCACTCAGCACAGGTGGGAGTTTGTTAAAGGTTTTTGGAACATAATAACTCCGAATGCATGTCGCAAAATGAGTACTAATTCGCGGCGTGGCATATGGTGCCACTTTACGAAGGTCACGACAAACCCCGTTGGGAACCTTAAAGGTATTATCCCAGTAATGTCGGAGTATAACGGTACGCAGAAATAGGGCTCGAAAGGGTGGTAAAGAGAGATCGTCAAAGATGATGTCGGATGTTTGAATATTGGAGCCATACGGCCACGCTACGCAAGATGCCCTTTAGGAGAGAATTCACTTTAGTTTCTAATAGGTTTGTGCACTGCCCGAACAAGGTAATTCCATATTGAAGCACACTATAAACGAGTGCGTGCACAATGAGTCTTCGGGTTGACATGGGGATAAATGTTCTTTTATTGTAGAGGGTGCAGGATGGGCACACTCTACAGTAAATTTGGTTACAAAATTAACTACATATGTGGTCGTGCACATAATGATGGCATGCAATTAAGTTCTAAATGTAAACATCGGACGGCAATTTACAATAAGGCGAGAAACGCGGAGAAACGTGACGAAAAACGCGAATGCAACGCCTTCGACAAGTCTCGGACGGGAGAGTGGATCGACGAGTTGAAGCCACCTTATGGCGGCCGCGTCACGTGATTTTAAGATGGCAGCGCCCGTGCGACGGAGGCTGAAAAGGTCTATAGGCCCGTTTGTCATTTTGAACAATTTTTTTACATGTTTCCCCTAGGTACCGAACTTGGTGTACCATAATTTCAAACAACTGTTTTGAAACAATTTATGGAAGTGTCTTTATTTATAACCAAGATGGATACCTTGAGTACCTGAAGTTTTGCTTCGGAATAAACATGTCCATTCAATTCCTAATAATACGAGTAAAAGTGTCTGTCGCAGTGTCGACATTTTTGCCATTTAATACTGCCGAACAGTCAAAATCCTTAAGAAACCAGTACAGCCCCATGTTATAAAGCTGCCAGCTTAACCATGCCTTCATCACACATTTATACCTTTATTGCCGAACAATGGCAGTTTTAGAGTTCTAACTTTATTATATTACAGCAGTGTATCAAGCCTTTAGACGTCACAGCCAAAGTTATCTAATTAGATGAGAACATCAGACGCCTCTAAAATAATCGTTTTTTTTTTGTTTGTTTGTTTTCTTGCGCTATACATTATTTTTGGAAAAATTTCCGTGGTTACCAGTGCCTCTTTGTAAGTGGTTCAGAACTCTGTATGAGAAAATTACACTTTTGTCTGCTTCCTGTTCTGCCGCGGACTGTGTTCTGAGCTTAGCAAAAAAAAAAAAAAAAACACATAAGAAACGATTCACATCATAGACTGTAAAGTTGTTTGTGGGCACGTAAAATGGAAGATTTATTATTATTTTTAGGATTATTATTATTATTATTACCGTTGCAGTTACGTTACGTCCCGTTCGGCCGGCAACTTTCATGTACCAGATTTGTTTTTTTCCTGAGCACAGTTTAAATCACAATCAGCAGTCGCTGCTTGGATGCCAGTGTGAGCATCTGTTATCTAAGTAACGATTGTATAACTGCAGGGTCACCCAGATGTTATATAAAGATCTATATCCCACTCTAAGCACTAAACTTCTTTGAGACAATTTGAAAACATATACCCTGGAGTAGCTATCACTACATTTTATAGAACATTCGTAGCGAAAGTAAATCTTAAATCTTAAAAGTAATCTAAATCTTAAAAGTAAATCTCCTTTCGTTCCGTTTCAAAATGTGGAAGTATCCCGACGCATACCGTGAGTAAAAAGCTGTGGGCGTTTTCAACAAAATTACGTCGTTTAAATTGAACAATGGACTCCGGATTGTTGTCCTATAGATCTGCCGTTTTTATGCTTCGTGTTGGACTGCGTTTGCACAGCGACGCACACAGCTCGAGTAGATGACTCGGTCCTGCAAACGACCGGTTAGCAGAATTTCGGGGAAACTTAAGTCACCACTGATATTTTCCTTTAAATCTCGTGCGAGTTTGTTGCGCTCATAATTCGGTGTGAATAAATTGGGGCAAGATTTCCAACCTGCCCACAGATGCATGAACTGAGACCATTTTTTACGTGGTGAACATAGTGCTTTTTCTCTATTTTGGAAAGAGGCGTTGGTGCATTTACTATGGTAAAATCACTTGAGAGTTGAGAAATCGGAGAGAGCGAGCAAGCTTTCCCAACATTGTCTGCTTTCTATGGCACTGCCCTGTTTCAGTTTCAGTAGGCATATCTACAAGGAGGTACAAACTGTTCTAAATCAAGTAAAAAAACAGGGGAAGCGTAGGACCGTGCGGACTCCGTGTTTCGCGCTTTTCGTAAGGTGACGGGGTAAATGCTTTTGCGAGGTACGCGGAATATGCAAGCGATTTTGTTATGCCTGTTATTTGCGTCTCTCCAGCAAAACGAATGAGATGATCTACAAAGGCGCAATCACAAGCCAAGATTTACAATAGCAGTGCGTTTGCTTCGGTGGTCCGTGTAGTTCTATTTTACCCTGCTCTCTGCAACACCGTGTCATGACGAAGAGCTGAAACGGTCACTGTTTGTGCTGGCCTCCCGGTTGACAGAAACCCGCATCGCCCGCGTCGGCACCGAGTGCGCTTGGGCTGTTGATGCTCACAAGCCACGGATGCTTTCATCCGTGGCTTGTCGCCAGCTGATCCTGC